TGATGCCTCAGCTTCGACTGTGCCCCCAGCTAAACAGCCGCGCAGTGGGCAAGAGCTACACGAGAGCTCCGGCGTACCGGTAGCCCAACAGCAGGCCATATCCCCGCAATTGGCCCCTAGTGCGTCTGCCTTGCCTGGCACACATTCTCTGAGAGCTTCTCCGGTTGCCGTATCCGATCCCACACATTGGGGTGCCAGCCACAGTCAGAAAGAGGTCGATGCCGCCGATGCGCTGCTGCAGCTGTCAACGAGTACTTCGTCTGTGGAGGCCGCCGGTGGCGGGGCCCGAGAACAAGGTGGGGAAGAGCCTCAACCGTCAACGTCTGCCGAATCAACGCAAAGTGCTCGCCGTTTGCAAAAACGTCTTTCTGTGGCTGAACGCGCGGAAGCTGAGGTACCAGCTGCTCTTGCTCTGGGGAATTTGCCCATTTCCAGTCACCCGTTTGTTCGTCTACCGGTCGTAGACAAATCTAAACTTCTGAGAAGTTTCAGCTCCACAACTGCTGTATGTGAAGGCTGGCTTACGGCAAAGCCGACCGTTTTGCTGTCTAGGGCGCGCGAGCACCTTGCAAAGCCCTCACTCACCCCCGAGGAAATGGAAAAGCTAACCTACGACGCTGAGCGGTTGTGCAAGTATATTGTGCACGCTACGTCTCCTGACAAACATGCTCCTTCGCGCATTGTTGCGGAGTACCTAGGGCTCCGCTTCCTGTGTATGGACATAATTGTGGCAACTCTGCAGTTACTGGGGGAACCGGCGAGTGGACCCTGGTGGGAGAGAGTTACTGGCAAGATCCGTCTTGACTTCACTAACCAGTGGCAACTGCTTTCTCCCCCGAACACTCTCGCGAAAACTCACTATAGCAAGATACTTTGTCGGGAGCTTAATTTGGCGTTGCGACTTTTAATGACGGGAAAGCGCCCTTCAGACGTCGACCTTATCAAGATTAAACGGATGCTTTTCTGCTCGCGACTGTCTCCGCGGCGCTTTAAAGGTAGCACATTTGATGCCTGGCGAAATGACGACAAACCCTTTTGTAGCCCAAAAGGTCCCGCCTGACGGCCTACGGGAGATAGCACCCTCGTTGTGCGTCCTGCGTTTGGTTGAGGAGCGCAACGAGGTAAGCTATTTCAGGCAGCTTACCTCGAAATTAGGGGCCTGGTCACCGTCC